CTCATGGAACCTCATGGAACCTTATGGAACCTGGCGGAAAGTGATCGATTCCAGGTAGACTAAAGGCGCCGTCCAACAAACAAAAACATCCGTCATGGTCCAGTGGTCAGGATTTCTCGCTCTCACCGAGACGGCCGGGGTTCGATTCCCCGTGACGGAGTTACATTTTGTTCTGATACTTCAAACACTCAGCATGCGCCGTCCTGGCACTCACAGCCGCCACAACTGGTGTAGTCCCGATTCACCCGAGGCGAGACATCAAGATGGGTGCGCCGGCATGTCGGTATCAACATTTTATGCCCCTCGACACCCGGCTGAAGTTCGGGGGGGGGGGGGGGGGTATTCGCGTCGCCGCTTCCCGGCGGTCCAAAGCGTCGTTGGCCCCCCTAGGCGGCCCACGAGCAGGAGGTCACTGCTTTTGGTGTCCGACATGGATCTGTTGGGGGCGGTCATAAGAGCGGCCAATGGAATGTATTGCTTATGAAATAGGTGCATATGGTTTAGTGCAGAAAGTAATCGATGACATAGGGCACTGAGCGGCGTGACGGTCACCGGGAGCGTCCACGTCCACGTGGTAAGGGTCAGCCATAAGGAACAGCCATAAGGAACAGCCATACGGAAGCCATGTAAGCAGGGACAAGACAAAACAGAGCGAAACGGATGAGTATTGATATACTGACGCCGAGACACCGGGTGGTGAAGGCGTACGACGATGACTGTCCGCTCTGAGCTGGGCAGGCCCTACAGCCCAACCGCCGACCGGGGATCGACTTTGTCAGCAGTGGCGCCGAGGCGCTAGGCCGGCGTCTCAATACGTTACCCGTGCGGATCGCAACGACGGCAGCCACGAATACGTTCAAGGCCTTCTTGGAGGCGGCGCGGTTGGCCTTCGCCTTTAAACGCAGGAGACCGCGGGACATCGCCATTCGAGGAGCCCGAAAGATGGGGGCATCAACCCGCGCATGAGAGCGACGCCGCGGAGGACATGAAAGCGAAGCAGGGAATGAGGGTCAGTACGAGACGAGACGGGACGGCATTGCCTCTGGGAGCAGCGGAGAGCGGTTCGCAATCGAAGCGTCCTGGTTTCAGCATGCCGCGGCGGTCTTTTATCGTGTGCTTGATGTGCAGACGGCGCCGCGCCCGTCGGGGCGGTCCGTGATTTACCTGGGCGGCGGTGACCTGGGGAACCTGGGGGCCGAACATGGTGCGAGCAGGGACAGGCTGAACGAGTCAACGGGGAGGGGAGGCGCGGCGGTCGTCGTCAGGAGGTCAGAGCAGAGAGCACGTGGAGCGATCCAGGGTTCAGGGGCCGTCAGGGTCTTCCCTGATGCGAGGTCTGCCGTGGTTCCCGGACCTTTCTGGGCACGAACCGGACGCCCAGGCGGATCCGCGTGGCCCTGCGTGGTTAAGAGGCATGGCGGCCCGCGTTCCCCGCGTTCCCCGCGGCGCGCCGCTGCCAGGAGCCGGCGGGGTCCGTCGGTTCATGGCGCTGCACGATCATCGGTGGCGTCGTGTTGGCGTCATGGGCCGCGCATGGGCGAGCATACCGGCCGAGCATGCGTGGTGACGCTCCGCCGGCGGGAGCCGCCGCGCCGTGGCCAGTCGCCCGCCGTTGCTGCGCCCACAGCGTCGGACGGCGTGGCCCTCGGGGGCTCGGCCGGTGCCGGGGTGGGCCGAGCACACCCCCTTTCCCGGTCGTGGGGGCCGGAACCAGGCCGGCGTCGGAGAAGGCGCGCGGAGATGCGGGGCCACGGCCGTCGCTCGAGACGGCGACGGGCATCGATTCGGGATCATTCAGACAGGCGGAAACAGCGATCTTCTCGATGATCATAACGGTCATATCATATCATAACGGTCGACATGAAAAGCGACAGGTGCTCGAGCGACCGCTTTGAGCGGATGGTGGACGGCCTGCGGCGGGCATCAGGTCGGATTCTCGCTGACCGCTCGGCCCCGTCACCCCGCTCCCCAACTCCGCTCGCTCCGCTTTCCTCGTATTGGCCGTGCCCGGGTTCTGCCGCTCACGGTACGCGCTGCCTGTTTCATTCTCCTCTCTGCTCGGCCCGGATCGGCCTGGCCGATAGCGTTTGATACCGCATCCGTACTTGATTCGGTCTTTTGAATCGTCAGAGGCGCTATGGCTCAAGGTGGCATTAAGCCGTCGGAAGCGGCCAAGCAACAGCTCGCCAAGCTGAAGCGCAAGCAGGCCACACGCCGTCCCGTCAAGGGTAAGTCACCTTCTCGACCCGCGCTATGATGGATCGCCGTTGCAGCTCGCATGGAGCCGCCGGTTGAGCATTTCTGCTTGCCTGATATCCTGTCGAATTCGGTGCTCTTCCTGGACAAGGTGGACTCATGCTTATCTTCTGGTGATCCGGAATACGACATGTCTATCGCCATGCATGACAATCGGCCCTTTTCGTCTCCAACTCGACTCCCATGGAATCGATCCGCCGCCATCCGCTCGACGTGTAGGCGCACGTGAGGTCAAGCCGAAGCCCAAGTCTCAGGCACATTTGAAGCAAATGAAGTTCACGGCCAAGCTGCGTGCACGCGCGATCCAGGAGACGGAAAAGTACGCTGCCGGCAAGGCCTTCGCCACGGGCAAGCTCACCATCATGAAGAAAACCGGCCAGACTTCGCTGGAAGCCCAGCGCAAGGAGACCAAGGAGAAGCCCCGTGCCTTCTGAGTCCATGCTTTCTGTTGTTGATTCACTTTTCGATAGTTTAATTTAATTTCTTAGTCACGGAAAGCCCGGACTGAATGGCAGCCTCGGTGCACCAATGAGACTTGCAAGACCGTCATTTCGGCGGCTCCACGACTTCGCCGCCCGCTTTCCTCGACCAGCGGCGGCCTCCGGTTCACGGGCGGGCGACCTCCGAGTGTGGCGCAACGCGCGGCCTGTCCCCATATGAGCGGGGTCGGCGTGTCCCCACCTGCGGGGGCGAGGAGCGGCGGGGTCCGGCACCGCGACCCGTCAACTCGGCGCGGCGATCGCCTGGCGAAGTCTTGGCGCTTCCGCTGTCTCATCTCGGCCACGTGAGTGACACGTGGGCGACACGTGTCGATGGGCAGCTGGCCATTTACTCTCCAGTCATCCGCATCTCCAGTCATCCGCAGACCCTTTCTCTACACGGCAGGATTCCCCCCCCACTGACCTCAATATATCGCCGTTCCGCTCCCCGGACGGCACCTATCGCTCGATCGCCCATCGCCGTGGCCGTGGTCACGAGAGGTCATTGATTGGTCAGCCGTCCCGCCTGACACGCCGCCCGTACGGCGCAGAGACCGTGTTTACGCCGCAGTGAGGATGAAGATCCTCGCGCGTCATATCGAGAAGGATCGCTCGGGCCGTCTCGTGCTCATTCCCGAGGAGAACGAGGATCTGTGGCACTTGTACAACATCATCACGGCCGGTGACCGGATTAAGGGTTCGACCGTGCGCCGCGTCGTCACCGAGACCTCCACGGGCTCCGTCGACAAGCATGCAGTCAAGCTGACGCTGGTGCTGGTCGTAGCGACGGTCGACTATGACGTCCAGGGCGGGCAGCTCCGCGTGAAGGGCACCAACCAAACCGAGTCGCCGCACATCAAGCTCGGCGCGTACCACACCCTCGCGATCGAGCTGAACCGCCAGCTGACGATCTACAAGGATGAGTGGGACACAATCGTGCTCGACCGCATTCGGGCGCTCTCGGACGTCTCAAAGCGCGCGGACATTGCCGCCGTCGTGATGGAGGAAGGGCTGGCGCACGTGTGCCTGATCACCGAGAGTATGACGGTCGTCGTGCAGCGCATCGAGAGCACCATCCCGCGCAAGCGCCGCGAGAATGCGTCGTCTCGCTCGAAGGCGATGGACCGCTTCTACGAGCAGATCTACCAGGCGATCGCGCGCAGTATCGACTTCAGCGTCGTGAAGGCCCTCGTGCTCGCCAGCCCCGGGTTCGTCAAGAACCAGCTGCTCACGTACCTGATGACGGCCGCGGTCAAGTCGAATACACCTCGGCTGGCCGAGACGATCAAGGAGAAAGCCGTGCTCGTGCACTGCTCGACCGGCCACAAGCATGCGCTCACCGAGATCATGGCCGACCCGGGGGTCCAGGCCCAGCTGAAGGAAACCAAGTTCGCTCAAGAAACGCGCGCTTTGGAGGAGTTCTTCAAGGTGCTGGCCCAGGACCGCGGTCAGGCGTTCTACGGATATGACTACGTGGCGCGTGCCGCCGCCCAGAAGGCCGTCACGACGTTGCTCGTCACCGACGGTCTGTTCCGGTCGGCGGACATTCCGACGCGCAAGCGGTACATTCGGCTCGTGGAGCAGGTCAAGCGACAGGGCGGCACCGTCTACGTCTTCTCGACCCTGCACTCCTCGGGCGAGCAGCTGGAGCAGCTCACGGGCATCGCCGCGCTGCTTAGCTACCCGATGCCCGATCTCGAGGAAGAAGTCGCCGCTCAAATGGAGGCGCAGCGTCTTGCGGACGATCCATTTGCTCTGCGGGACGGCGACGAACTCATCGAAAGCGATCCCAATCCCGTCGGCGCGGATTTCTAATCCAGCGTCCGTCAATGGGCATGATCGCATTTTCCCCATCTTCATCCGCGTCGCGCATACGACGGTGGTTCTCAACTATTTATAATCGATCCTGCTTAGATGCCGCGCCGTCGTCGCTTTGCCGCCACGACCAGACGGGTGGGATGGGCGGCCGACGCCGGCGTCTTGAGTGGATTTTGAGTCGATGCCGACGTTGCCGCCGCGGCGAGCGATGGCGTTGACGCCGCCGCCGCCGCCGCCGTCGATGCGGCGGCAGCGCCGCCCCGAATCGCGGAGAGTGAGCCGCCTGGCTGGGAGGCTAGCACCTGGCGCAGGTACGCGGGGTCGGTGCGGCCGTAAGTCTCTTCCCAGGCGCGCATGGCAGCGTCCTGGTCCCAGGCGGGCGCATCGCGAGCGCGCTGGGCCGCGATCGGGAGCCGGAGGTCGTAGAACATGGGCCCGAACTCAGCGAGCCAGTAAGGATCGACGGCGGTCACGTGCTGCATGTACTGCTTGCTAGTGTAGATGAGCTCGTGGTAGACGATGTAGTCCGGGGTGAAGCCGCGGCCGTAGAGCGCCGACGTCGGATGCAGGTGAACCGGCATGCCGGTGCGAACGTTGATGTACTCGC